TCTAAAAGAATAGAATAAAAAAATTTCAAAAAGAAGTTATAAAAGAAGTTAAGATGAGCGGAAGTTATACCTTATACTAAGGATTTGTACAGAATGTCAACAGTTTAAGTACGATGATGCCTACAGATGTAAGACGTATATCTTTCAAGAAAAAGTAGACATTTTTGACTATGATGTATCCCCAATACAGAGGAAAATCATATTCGCAAATCAATGTGGAAATGGCGGATCATAGATTCGGTTCCACATCTTTTCTTGAAATAGTTATAACTTTACAAAGATCTTATATTTAAAAATTAATCCAGTAAAAGTGCGTATTATACATTGTTTTTATTGCCGCAAGTTAGGGCAACCATATTCAAGCTCTACGGCAAGATCGCCCATGAGCAGTGGCGCGCTGCTGACGGTCAGAGACAAGCTAAGGAGCTGAATCGAGACTGTCCTAGTGTACGGCAAAAGGAGCTCTTAAAGCTTAATAGATACAGTATAAGGAAGATCATAGGTCTTCTTACTGGTCACTGTATCCTCAGGAGACACCTAAACATTATGGGAATAGAATCCAATTCTCTTTGTCGGGGATGTCATCTTGAAGAGCAGACATCACGACACATACTCTGTGATTGTGAGGTCTATTCTGCTCAAAGAATTGAGCATTTAGGGCAGCATATCGTCAATGCCTGGGAACTGCAAGATGTTCCTGTAAGGTGCTTGCTGAATTTTATTTCAGCCATAGGGCTTTCATGCTAATCATGATTTTAGGGTTTGGGTACAATAGACCTCTGGTCGATGTGCCCTGCTCGTCAGAGCTGCCCAACCTCTAAGTCTATTGCCACAAGTTATCCATATGCTGTGATCATATATCTATATATATATATGTACGTAATATAGAATACCTCATACGAGTCTCTCTATATTAAATCATAAGCTTTAAATAGATTTCTCTTACTAATTTCAAGAAGAAATAGTTCGCAGAAATCGTTCTTTTACAAAGAGCCATAGTTAAGATGTCAATTAAAAGATTATTTTCTGAAGTTAATGGGTAATAATTCTAAGAAAAATGCACGATAAGAAAATCCCAAAAATTTTCTATCGTCATAATGGCGTCATCTTTAGAACATATCAAAATCTTTAAATTTTCCCTTTTGAATGACGTTTGATTAAATTATGGATATTATTTTAACCAACTCCCTTTCAGAATTCAATATTAAGTAACGAGAACTATCAAATATTCGTGGCTTTTTCATGATGTAACTGTTAGCAAAAGTACGGCCCGAATGGCCAAACCCCATGCCCTTGCCAAGAAATTCTGTTCCTTAAGAATTTATCATAAGATGCTGAATAAAACTTAAAATAAACCAACTTGTGCCTCGTCAGTGGAAATGATTTGTATTTTCTTCAAAGAAGATCATAAATATATATATATATATACAGCTTTAAAGTTTAGCTAACTTTTCCCTTCCTAACACATATGTCTGTTACACTTCCTAACACATATCGCTGTTTCAAAACTAAAATGACACTTCTGCACTCGCTTCTCATTCAAATAACATGAGAAGTGAGTGCAGAAGTGTCGTTTTAGTTTTGAACCAGCGATATGGTCTTTTTACTCCCAGAACTATACTAAACGAGTTGGAGAAAATAAAACATTTAAAAAAAAAGAGTCAGTGGAAAAATAAAATGGTTTTTAATTACTTTTTTGTAGAAGGTCAAGAAGGAAAACACGATTAAAAATACCTTTACGAATGCGCCATTTCAAAATTCTAAATTTAACTCAGTTATTAATTTTTTGTATCAGTCAGTTCACCCAATACAATCACGCAACTCGAAAATAAACAAAAGCAACAGAAATAAAAAAACAAAAAAAGAAGAAAAAAACAAGGAAAGTTATAAACTCCGTTTTTTAATCACTCGTTCGAAAACATAAAGGAGAGTAAAATAAAAAAGAACAAACTCCCACAACAAGTGTTTAAGAGCGGTAAAAATTGCAATAACTTTTTTCCCTAACCCTTTGACATTTCGTACAAATGAAAAGGACAGGCATAGGCTGAAAGACGTCATTCTACAGCGAGAAACAGTCTCATTTGTTAAGCTCAACTGTCATTTCTCGAATATTACTTGTCACAAAAGAGACCGGAACAATAAACCCGCCTCTCTCCAGCGAGATTAAAAAATCATTTGAATCACGCGAAAAAAAACCGAATTGTAGCTTTCTTTACTTTGAAATGTGGCAGCAAAATATTAAGTTGGGTTCGTAAAGTATTTTTATTGCTGTTTTTTTCTTTCGCGCACACCTTTTTACCTTAAAAAAAGTAATCAACCAATTGCAGTTTGCTACAGCGGATATCTCGTTATATGATGGCAACCATTACATACATATTGTTCAACTATTACATAATTCATAACTATTACATAATTCATTCAAGTAACACTCTATTTAAATGATTTCATAATTATATTGCTATCATTTAGAGCAGGGCTGTTCAACTGCAAAGAGCCCACGGGCCAGAATTACGGTCACTGATCACCTGGCGGGCCGCAGTTTGAAAAAGTTGAACAATACCCTCTTACCTCTGATACAATAACAATTAATAGTTAAATTATTAATTATAAAACAATTTGCTTACATTTTAATGGGAAAACTGAGGCTGCTCAGCCTGAGTAAGAGGTTGGCGGGCTGCACAATATGTGTTGTCCGGCCACATGCGGCCCGCGGGCTGCCAGTTGGACAGCCCTGATATAGAGTTAGCACCCAAAAAAAGAGATGGTCATATTTTATTTGACATGAAAGAGAATCACTACTCTTAAGTTTAGGTCCACCAACCAAGGACACTGCTTATGATGTTGGAAATATTACAAGAACTATAGTTCTGCGTTAGGAAGTAATATGACAGTAAAACTACAAAATCTGTAAACTGAACTTTATTACAGATTATTACGTGTAACAAAAGGATCAAACATCGGACATTGGTAACTGGGGGGGGGGAAACTTGGAATATTTTTGTTTAATTTCATGTCTCACTTAGACATGTCTAGGCTCTCATGTCTTATACGTGTAATGTTACATTAGATTGATATATCTGCATATAAAGGGCTTGAGGCTTAATGATGACCCACATTTTCAAATTGTTCTTGGAAGCGTTTTCCTAGAGCGTTTCTGTTTAGAAACTACATTATTTTCATGGGGGCTACGAGATATTTCTCCATCGGAGAACTTGTAAAGTAACTAACTGAAAATACTAGGGAATAGTTTGTAGAAAATCTCTTCTTTTAGAAGATTTATATTAGAAGAATTGTGATTTATCATTATATTTTCAGATGCTCTTAATCTATTCTTGATACACTACTTTAATGCAGTAAAAGATTACTGATATTTTTGTAAAAAATTCAAAGTTACAGGACAGAGCCGTCCAATCAAGTCGTCTCTAGTAGATTATAAGTTTCGCCATCTATTTATTCCTGTGAGGAGAGTCACATCGACAATGTCAACATTCATCTATGTAAAGGTACCCCCAAGATTGAATTGAATTAGCTTGTCTTATTTACTAGTGAATTGATGTCTGATAATCGTAGTGGTAGTTACGCCACAATACTCCCCCACCAGAATTTTATCAGACATATAATTTTGATGAAAATATACCACTAGTTGATGTATTTTCGAAAGACCTGCGTTAAGTTCATCGGATTTTGAGCACTGGTGGTGAGAGCTGTATTAAGTTCACGGTTGTGTGCGTTCTCTCCTAAGTTGCTAGAAGCAGTTGAGAGTGTGCAGAATTCCGTTGACTGAAAACGAGCTTGATTAACAACTGCGCAAGGACAACGACGACGCAATCACAATAACAAGTCAACTGTTCAATGTGGATCATTCATCGGAGTGGGCGTTACTTTCGATGCAGACGAGTTCATATCACGTCCGGGTCGCCAATGCGGGGAGAGTCATATCGACAATGTCAACATTCATCTATGACCCCAAGATTAAATCGAGTTAACATGTCTTATATTCTAGTGAATTGATGTTTAATAATCGTAGTGGCAGTTACACCACATACCCATGGGTTTTAGGTCTTTAAAGGTCTAAACGCAATTAATCCATCTCGCGATAGCCTGGTCGGTAGGGCGCGGGACCCATGTCCGAGAGTTCGTGGGTTCGAACCCCGCCGGCCGAAGACTCCCCGTGTAGTAAAGTGACTGATGCACGTTAANGGTGAATCTGTCGGGGTCACAAAATCCTCCAAGTGCCTATAACAAACCAATACCTCCGGAGGTACTGGATTGGAGATCGATCGCTCTCTGATTCAGGTCAAAATTACGATCTGTGGAGGAATGAATGGATGGATGAATGGGTCCGCCCTATAAACGGGTGAGACGTATGGTGAGGCAGAAGTCGAATTCTTGGTCATAGATGGCGCCACTGGAAAACATGAACAATCGCACCCCCTCTGCCTAAACAGTCATACGTCAACAACAACAATCCATCTCGTATTTGGTTTTCTCCTTCTTCGGATACTAATGATTTTTCCAAAGGTCAGTTTAATAACCAAGTAGGTATTATCCTCTCTATAAATAAAACAGAGCCAGTTTGTTTATTCATTTTTATATTTAATAACTATCTTGATGCTTGCTAGTTTGAATTTTATGCGTAATTCCAGATTGCACTAAATGCCCCTGAAATCGTCTAATTACACTGCTCCGAACGTGTTTGGAAATTACATACTTAAAAATTATAAATATTATTTATTTCATATTATAATTAATACATATACTATAAATTTTATTTATTTCGAGCATGAATAATTTATTTTCACCTGATTTATCCAAAGATCAACATTTAAAGTTTTTTTTAAGGCATTGTATAAAATAATTTTTGTTTTAATGTATATTATCTTTAATTAAAAAAATTTAATCTACTATAAACAGTTTTTTTAGTAAATATTACTTGTCATACCTTAGTGGTTGGTAAACGCTAAGAAAAATTAATAAATAAATATTTGGATAAGACTTACTTTGGCACTGGTAACCTTGTTTGCCGAAACCCCTAGAAAAGAATGTTTTGCATTAATAAACAATGATCAATAAATTAATACATAGATCAACAAAAGGGGGGACAGACACATCATATTTATAGCTGGCTAAACACTTTTTTTAGGAACGATTCTAAAAGTTGAAGGTAAATTATATGGAATTACATTTCTCAACTTCAGTATTACATAAATTATTTACATAAAAAGTTATAATTTATTTTAAATATTGTACATATTATGTATGATGCGGTATGTTGTGGCAGCCCTCCATAACAGAATATTGGTGCACTATAATTAACAATAAAAGGATTATAAATTTATAAAACAAATAGTTAGGGAAAGGCGTTGTACCCAGAGACAATTTGAAAGAAATATTTTTAATTTTTACCTGTCTAAAGATTACTGCTTATCATTTAAAGAATCTTTAAACATTTTAAAATTAAAAATATGTTATTTTACAAGGGAGTAATAAGTTATTTTTAACACCTTATGCAGGTTGTTGTACTTTGGGATATATGATATTTAACCTACGTACTAAATGAAAAATAAACAAAACATGGCAGATAAACCTTATTTAATGAATATAAAATACAAAAATTTAAAGAAAAACAAAACATTACAAAATCAATTACTGATAAATTTTTGAATATGAATGAAATAAAAATTTCCAGCAATTTATTTTTTAGATTTTATATTTTAGTACAAATATAATTTCGATAATCTAACAGATTTTTTAGTGCTATTAGACTGTCCTGTATTATTAAAAATACCAAAATATATTTTTGCTTATATGTAGAGCAACAGGAAAAAGATACATAAAAGAGACATCCGAAGTCCCATCTGCTTCAAAGGCTAATAAACAGATAGCAGATTCAATTGATTAAGAAAATAGCACAAGATTGAATCCAGTTTATTGTTGGTTTTCACTCAGATACTGCTTCCGATTTGCTTAGAATATTAATCTGTTACTGTCTGACTAAGCATGGAAGATTAAATGTACCAGTTAGTTTCCCTCAAAAAGTCTGCTCACCCCACTCTCGGCGGCGAATTTGTCACAAAACTTGAGTCGGGATTCCAGTTGTCTTCTATGTGAAAGATATAGAATTGAGCGTTATTGACTTAAAACGTTGTTTTCCGAAACTCTGCCACCAAGGAAAATAAAAAAAGTCATTGTTTAAGTGCCTTACACTTGAAGCAATGCGATTATTTTAAACTATAAATATAATCTTGCCGTGAGGAATTATTTGGGCTTTAGAACAAACAAATAACTTAAATATTTTAAAAGTTGTTAAACTTTCTTAAAAATTGCCAATTTGGTGACATTTTCCACTTCGATGAAAATTATCAAAATCACTGTCTTAATCTCAGTTTTTCCAAAATTTTATGAGCCCAAATAATACAGCATTAAAATAGGTTTTTAAATATTAAAAAATTAGACCACTCATGCTTTTCGTTTTCACAAAACTGTGGCTTTCTTCCATGTTGACGTCTTGCGCCATTTTAAAATAAGCGTGACTTTATATAGGCTAAATTTAACCTAACAGTCATGCGTAACAATTGAAAATTCACAGCAGTTATAAAAATAGCATAGTGTGCGCAAAAAAGCGTCATTTCATATTACGACAGAGCTTTCAAAAAACAGCCAAAGATACAAGAACGGTATCTGTTTCATTGAAGAAGAAAAAAAAGGAACGCTTACAAAACTTCTCCTTTTCCAAAAGAAATGTAACAAAATGTTATTATATTTATTTATTGTTGTTCTTATAGAACTTATGTATAACTATGCAAAATGAAAAAGTAAATAAATAACGTAAACAAAAGGATTTAATTTTTGCAAAAATTGTAATTGAAAAATACACTCGCTTAAGTAAACAATTTTCATTTCTATAGTCAAACCTGCTCTGAAAGAAGCTTATGATACAGATACAAAACGATAAAATTAATTTAAACATTTCTACAGAGAGAGAAATCGTTTTATAAATAGAAAAACACACCTCTATGAAGAAACATTTATTTACATTATTAACTTGTTTAAAGACGTTCCAGAAACTCGGAATCATTTCAAGATTTCGTTCTCTTAAGATCCGCCTTTACAATGTTTAAAGGTGGAGAATCATTACCATTTATAAATTTTTTTTTCCTAATATAACAGTTTTGCACACTTCTTTCATCTGTGTATGTCAAATAGAACAGTGGAAGATGGAGAAAAAAAGATCGAAATAGAACTCAACAAGGGCAACGGGGTGTAGCAAATTGGAGAGCTAATGAGGAAGTCGCGTCTTCTACTTCAGGAAAAGTCGCTAATGAAGGGGAGCACTTACAAGAAAAGTTCCGAAAGTCGTCCGAGAAATGCACATTTTCTAGCCGCTTTCACCTCATTTTCCTTCCTTTTTTTTTTACCCTCCTACTGATTTCGGCTCCCTCTTCCTGAGCTTCATTGTTAAAAGAGTTTGATCATTTGTGGATTTTATGATTCAATTCCTCAGCCGTCATCGCTCTGAACATAGAGGATTTGAAAAGAACGGGTTTGGCAGAACAGAAATATTCGGTATGTAAGGAATAGTTCGTCACTGAAAGCGAGGGAGCACTATAACTTTCTTTGATTACAAAAACAATATAAATTAAGACTTAACAATAAAAATTATGACTTAACATTTTGTCTCATCGTAATAATTAACTTTTATTATTACTTGGGTTTCTAAGAATTCTTAATGTGGCCGAAATTTATATTAAGATTTCAAAATTAATTCGGAGGTGTACACCGATTCCCATGGTGGTTACAGTAATAGGCTTCGGACACAAAGATCTCCGGTTCGATCCCAATCGGTACCAAAGACTCTCTCTAACCGCTACAACGGTAAACATGAACAATCAAAAATCAACTATCTCACTCCTCGACAGATGGCAGCATTGCACTACTTTACGTTCCATGGTTTACCTTGTACCAACTCACAAATCACCTGAGTCTCAAATAACGCCAAGGCACGTAAAGTAGATAATTTCCACAATCATAATGTTGTGGAAATTATCTACTCTTTATCTACTAATGTACAATCAGTGAACATAAAATATACAAAAAAAAAATTTATGAGCAGGTCAGTATTTTTATGGTCATGATACCTTTTATCGGCATAAAATTATTTTTGAGGTCAGTGCAAAAATGACGTTTTATGAGTTTTTTCATTAAAATTATAATTGTAACTGTACTGTGGTAAATAATTGAATGTAGGAAAAAAACTAAATTTCCACGATATAAAGAACCTTTAACAATTCTTTGTACTTCAGCTCGAACGGTCTTCGAGATGCAACTACAACCACTTACTAATATTAAGTGATTATGCATCCTTCATTAATATAAAAGTCATCAATTTTCTACTGATATTAGTAAAAAGAAGTTTTTTTTTTAATTCTTAAGTTACTAAGAATATGAAACAAAAAATTTTAAAAAGTTTATTTCATCATAAATATTGATTAACTATTTCGAGGGATGAAAAAAAAAACATTTAAGAAAATCTTGGTTAGAGACTAAAACTGAATTGAAATTATTCTAAAGAAGCAATTACGAAAACCGAATTCAAATTTTCATCGTAAAAGAAGTTATAATGAAAATACATTGCTACATTTAAAGAAAGGGATGAATATTCAATAATATTTCAAAAATAGCATTTCAAATATCCAACAACATTTCTTTTTTTAAAAAAAAATCTTGCCCAGGGATCAAATTGTGAACTCAAAAAACTGTAACAGCATAAACTATTACAAAAAAGAAATTTTCATGGTAGAAGAAGCTTCAGTAAAAACATAAATCTAACTGCACTTCAGCAGTTCTCAAGAAATAAGTATAACCATTTTACGAACAATAATTCATCACGCATCCATCATTAAACGATTAAACCCATCAATTTTCAATCATTCACTTCCTGGAGAGATTAGTAAAAATGAAGATTCGCAAGCTCCATTGATAACAGCACGACACTAACATGATTAAGTCTATTTCAAGGAAATATCTAAGAATAGGAGCATTGACGTAAAAAAATAATAATAATAAGGAGCCTTGACAATTTGAGAATAATTTCATTCCATTAGTGAAATGTATAAAGTGATATTAGAAGCTTTTGTTCCCTTTTTTGTGAGCAAACAATCGAACAAGGACAACATCCAGACATTTTTAGACCGCTATCAGCTTAAAATAACAGCGTTTGTCACTTTTTCGATTTTTCATCTCGCATAACGCAGATATTATCGAAAGTTGATTGTTGTTTTTTTTAGTACATCGACGTGCATTGTTAAAATTTTCTGTTTCAATTCCTATATTGTTTTAAAAATTGCGAGGCGAAATATTAATCCGCTTGATAGAATATAAAAAAATATTGTGTTAACAATAATATTATTGATAAATAAAGAGATTAGTACATGGAGAAAAAACTTACCGTACTGTGTGGTAATGACATTTCTTGTAAAAAAAAAAGTTCTTGGTCAATAAAAACGAAAATATACGGTATTTAAACCATTCATTTTGTAACTTTTCCGTTCATATGGTAACGGTTAACCAAAAATTCTTCTTTCGAGTTCTTATTACTACACATTTAGTAAAAAATATAAAACTGAAACGTAATTTTACCGAATAAATGGTTTTTATGTCATGGTTTAAGATATCATTTGAAAATTACCAAATTTTACCTCATTTACCAAACTTTATCTTTCAATATAAAGACATATTTTATTGTTAATTTTATCGAAATCTTTACAGTAGAAATTACCAAACTTTTTGGCGTTCCCATAGAGACAGAAACACAGTAATTTTAGCCTATTCTGGTAGTTATGACCATATTTTTATTCTCGGAGTAGAAAAATGTACTAACCTACATTTTTAAAAATGTCTTATGGTTAGCTGTACATCAGATTAAATAAATAATGTGATTTTTAATGAGAAAATGTTTTATGTAAACATCTTCCTGTTGTTACTATGTTTTCTTCAGTTCATATTTCCAAATTCATGAAAATACTACTTGGA